CTTCCCTGGTGGCGCAGTGGTTAAGAATCCGCCTGCCAATGCAGGGGACACGGGTTCGATCCCTGGTCTGGGAAGATCCCACATGCCGCGGAGCAACTAAGCCCCTGCACCACGACTACTGAGCCTGCGCTCTAGACCCCAAGAGCCACAACTACTGAAGCCCGCGCACCTAGAGCTCGTGCTCCGCAACAAGAGAAGCCACCGCAATGAGAAGCCCGCGCACCACGACAAAGAGTAGCCCCCGCTCCCCGCTACTAGAGAAAGCCCAGTGAAGACCCAACACAGCCAAATATAAATAAAGAAAAAAACAAATTAATCTAAAAAAATGTAAAATAAAAAACATAAAAAACAGTCAACCCACTGCTGAAACCACAGGGCATCTAATGAAAGTGTGTCTGTTTTTTGGGTTTTTTTTTTCCTTCTGAATTGGAGTTGCAGCTTGTAAGAAGTTGGGACTGTGGGTTCATTAAAAATCAATCTGTTAAAAGCCTTGCATTATAGGCCTTTCATAGTCCTTTGCAGAGGGAAAGTGCCTTCTTCAGGAAAATAGATTGCCCAGGAGCCTACATTTCTGCTCTGATATCTGCAAAGTTCTGTCTTTAATGACCACGTACATCAGTCCCACTGGTTTGGAGCTGAGATCTGAATTTATGAGACAGGTCTTTGCTGCTCAACATGCTCTGTTTTTATTCTTGTGCAAAGCTCTTAAAGGGAGGTAGAGTTTATTTTTGAGTTAGGATACTCCTCACTTTTTCTCCACTATGAAAAACATTCTGCTAGTCATGGGCCTGAATAATTATAAATGTGTGACTTTAGTTAAGAATGTGCTTTTTATTTTTCTTAGAAGCTTTCTTACTTCGAAGCTAGTTCTCAGTGTCTGACACCAAGTTGGCAGAGATCAGCAGGAAAGGAAGGCCATTTAAATTGGCAACCTGCCTGGAAATGAGAGAGAGAAAAAGTTCTTCCTTACTAGAGTCGCTAGCTTAGCCAAGGCTACAAAGAAAGAAATATTCTTATGCCACTTTTTTTCTTTTTCTCTTACCAAAGTAACACGAACATATTAAAAAAAAAATCAAGTGATACAGAAGGGCTAATAATGAAAAGCAATTGTTTCTTTGTTTTGCTCCTAAGAAGGAATCACTTTCAAGTCTGTCTTTCAGTGGATCCTTCCATATCTCCAATACTTCACTTACGTAGCTGTCTCTGTTCTTGTTTTTGTTTTGTTTTTTATTGATGTATAATTCACATGGAACAAAATTCATCATTTTAAATAGTGCAGTGCAGTGATTTTTTTTTGTATATGTGCAACGTTGTGTGGCCATCACCACTATGTGACTCTAGAACATTTTTATCCCCCCACCCCCCCAAAAAAACCACCCGTATTCATTAGCAGTCATTCCCCCTTGCTCTTCCCCCCAACTCCTGACAATTACTTATCTATCTTATGTTTCTCCGGATTTGACTCATCTGGACATTTCATATAAGGAGAATCACACAGTATGTGACCTTTTGTTATCTGACTTCTTTCACTTAGCAAAATGTTTTCAAGGTTCATCCATATTGTAATATGTATAAGTATTTCATTCTTTTTTATGGCTGAATAATATTCCATTGTATGGACATACCATTCTTTGTTTATCAGTTAATCAGTCGATGATGAACATTTGGTTTGTTTCCTCTTTGGGGCTATTATGAATAATGTTGCTATGAACATTCAAGTACAAGGGTTTGTATGGACATATGTTTTCAATTCTTTTGGGTATATATAACTATTTTTGATTTATCCCTTTAGACTTCCTGTTATGAGAGATGAGTATTTAGCTTGTTTATACCACTCTCTCTCCTCCCCTGCCCCATCTCACCAGTATAGTATTATACATTTTTACTTTCTCTCTTCATTACATTTGTAACTCTAGCAGTTGTGATTGCTCTTCCCTCAAATAATAGAAACCTGACTACAGTGGCTTAAACACATAGGGAGATATTTTTCTCACTTAATCAATCCAGTTTATTGCTAGTTCAGCTGCCAAAAACCACCCGCAAGGGCCCAGGTTCTCTTTTGCTTTCCTCTCTGCTGTCCTTAATAGACTAGTCGTCTCCTTTTGAATACAAGATGGCTGCTGCAACTCCAGACCTCACATCTGCATACAAAGAAGGAATAAGACAATGGGCAAGAAACAGAAGCTGTGTTGGTTGCCCTTTATCTAGAAAGCATAAGATTTCTTAGACCTCCTCTCACCAGCAAACTCCTACTTAAATCTCATTGGCCAGAACTATGCCACAAGGTCACATCTAGCTGCCAGGGAGCTGGAGAAACCTGTAAGAAATAGGATTGACATCACTGGCTTAGATCAGTGGTTCTTAAACCTGGTTGCATATTAGAATCTTCTAGGGATATTTTAAGATATAGTGATGTGTATGTGATCTTACCCTAGTCCAGTGTTTCTCCACCAGCTGTGATTTTGTCCCCCACAGGACTTTTGGCAATGTCTGGAGATATTTCTTATTGTCACGAATAGGGGTGGGGTGTTCCTGGCATTTTGTGGGTAAAGGCTAGGATACTGCCAAATATCCTACAATGCATAGGACAGCCCCTCACAGCAAAGACTTATCCAGTCCAAAATGTCAATAGTGTCAAGACTGAGAAACGGTGCCCGTTCTGTTACTAAGAGGCAGAGAGGAGTGGATATTGGTTAGGTATTATGTCTGCCCCAGTAACTTTTAGTCATATACTGACATCTTTACTTCTAATTCCATTAATTATGCAGTGTCTTTTGGCTCCTTCTTTTTGGTTTGTTCCTTTCTTTTAATATTTATTTATTTATTTTGGCTGCGCTGGGTCTTAGCTACGGCACGTGGGATCATTTTTAGTTGCGGCATGCGGACTTCTTAGCTGTGGCATGCATGAGGGATCTACCTGATCAGGAATCAAACCTGGGCCCCCTGCCCTGGGAACGAGGAGCTTTACCCGCTGCACCACCAGGGAAGTCCTTTTTGGCTCCTACTTTTTTTTGTTGTTGTTTTCTTTGCGGTACACGGGCCTCTCACTGTTGTGGCCTCTCCCGTTGCGGAGCACAGGCTCCGGACGCGCAGGCTCAGCGGCCGTGGCTCACGGAACCAGCCGCTCCGCGGCATGTGGGATCCTCCCGGACCGGGGCACGAACCCGCGTCCACTGCATCGGCAGGCGGACTCTCAACCACTGCGCCACCAGGGAAGCCCCTTGGCTCCTTCTTTGTGAGATGAAGTTAGCCCCCTCACTTTGAATTCTTCTCCCTTCTGCCTTTCACCTTCTACAATTTGAACTTTTACACTGACAAAATTAACAGTATTTATTTTCTTTCTTACAGTCAAAGTTATATCTGTATGTTGTCTAACTATAGATTCTAAACATTGAAATTTAATAAACAGGATAAATATTTTGACAATATGAAAGTTTAATGCAGAGCCAAGAAATGTTTTATAATAACTTTTTTCCTGTATCAGATTTTTGTTTTCCTGGAATATGTAGTTTCACTTTTTCCCCTTGCACTATCTAACTTAGGCCATTTTAAAGGGTTGTTCATATAACCCCATTTCTATCTGGTATAAAAAATGAGCAAGGAAGAGATAAGCACTAAAACTGACCAAATTCCTTGAGAACTGAAAGCTTTCTCAATCACCCTCAACTTCCAATTCGATAAAAAAATGAGAAATCTATTTAATGTGAACTTGGGGATACAGAATTGAATGCTAATATTATAATCCTATGTACCTTACATTTAATAAGTATTTGGTGAATGTTGTTAAATATTTGCTTCTGTTTGGAATAGTGTTACTGGATGCTTCTAATTGAAATAGAAGAAAAATCTCTCAGTGATGCATTTGTCAGGTACAATAACACATGATTTTTTATATTGTGCAAGGGTGACCTAAGGATATAGCAATGGATTAGCTAGCAATGTAACAACTGTAAACATTTTTATCTGCAATGGATATTTGTCAGTATTGACTGCTGTACAGCTGAAGAACTTTCAAGTGAAATTACGTTCAGACTCCTGTGACCAGGAAGCAAACTGCTTACTGTTGTGAGCGTCTGCAACAGGCACATGCTGTGACCTCCAGGCTGCTGAACATCTACCCTGATTGCAATTCCACATGGGATTTCCTTCTAGATTTCAGTGGTAATTGAAATAACTTTATGATATGCTTCCAAGAGCCCTACACGGGAGTGTAGATGAATACTTGGATTCCTGGAAGCTGTGTAATTCAACCTACCCTATAGGTAGTACAATATCACATTTCCACAGATTAGTTTTGTATGTAGTACAGTTGTATTTTTTGTTACTATTGGTTGGCTAATTTTTATTAGGATAAAATTTACATACAGTGAAACACACAAATGTTAAGTACCATTCAAGGGGTTTTGACAAATGCATACATCCGTGTAATCAACATCTTAATTGGTTAATTTTCCCTTTGGGGAATTTAGGGTAAATATTACTTTGAGATAACGCCCAAAGAGCTCTGAAAAAGATTTTTTTTTCCTTTTGCTTTCTAGGAAAGTTTTTTTAATTGTGGTAAAATATACAGAATATAAATATTAGTGACATTTATTACATTCATAATGTTGTGCAATCATCACCACTATATATTTCTAGATCATTTGCATCACCAAAAAGAAAAACTGATACACGTTAAGCAGTTACTTCTTATTTCCCCCTCCCCCAGGCCCTTGGCAACCACTAATCTACTTTCTGTCTCTGTGGATTTCCCTATTCTGTATGTTTCATATAAATTGAATCACACAGTATATAGTCTTTTTTATCTGGCATCTTTTTAAACAATTAACATAAGGGGAATTCTCTGGCAGTCCAGTGGTTAGAACTCCACGTTTTAACTGCCAAGGGCCCGGGTGCAATCCCTGGTCAAGGAACTAGCATCCCACAAGCCTCGTAGCGTGGGCAAATACTATTACTACTATTACTACTACTACTACTAATAATAAAATGAAATTTGCGTTTTGGTTTCTAAGGTCATCCATTTTGTAACATGTATCAGCATTTCATTTCTTTTTATGCCCGAATAATATTCCATTGTGTATATATACACCACAATTTGTTTACCCATCCATCTGTTGATGGACATCTGGGCTATTAACACACTTTGGCTATTATGAATAGGGCTGCCATGAGCATTTGTGTACAAAGTTTGTTTGAACACTTGTTTTCAATTCTGAAAAAAATATTTTACTTGTCCTCCAAATAGCCCAGATCTGATAAATATGAGTCGCGCTGGGACGATGCTACTTTGTTCTCTCACTGCCTGTTACTTCCACTCAAATGAAAGACAATGAAACAAAGGGCTTCCCTGGTGGCGCAGGGGTTGAGAGTCCGCCTGCCAACGCAGGGGACACGGGTTCGAGCCCTGGTCTGGGAAGATCCCACGTGCCGCGGAGCAACTAAGCCTGTGCGCCACAACTACTGAGACTGTGCTCTAGAGCCTGCGAGCCACAACTACTGAAGCCCACGAACCTAGAGCCCGTGCTCCGCAACAAGAGAAGCCACCGTGATGACAAGCCTGCACACCACAAAGAAGAGTAGCCCCTGCTCGTTGCAATCAGAGAAAACCCGCGCACAGCAACGAAGCCCCAACGCAGCCAAAAAGAAAATTAAATAAATAAATTTTAAAAACACAAATGTTAAAATAAAAAGAAAGAAAAAAGAGCAAGTCAGTGGTGAAACCACCAGGAAGAAAAGTTCAAGAGTGGTCATGCTGTTTGGTGTGATTTTGGACAACACCCTTGGCCAGTGCACAGGAATATGAAAGTGACAGAAATGGAGAACAGAAAGGAGGCACTGGTGTGTTTCAAAATCACAAGCTTTTCTAACATTTTGTGTGAAAGGTTTTGATTCCCACGCCTGTGTCCAAAGGGGATTGTTGTTTGAACCACATGACTTCTTAGGAAAAACGGTAAAAGTGATCGTTACTCAGCAAGCAGTCCTGAAAGTGGTTAAGCTTGCACTGCAGTGTGCAGACATTAGGAAAGAGGCATGGAATAGGAGTGAAAATTTGACCAACCCAGTAATAGTGTTACCCAACGTGTGTGTACCCTGCAAGTTGAGAAGCCCACAAAGTTCCCACTGCCCTCTAGCCTTCCAACCCAAAGTGATTCCCCCACCCTTGGCACCCAAGCAATTCTAGAGCTCTGAGATCGGGGGAATCCCGAGCACAATGCCCCCGTCTGGCCAGTACAAACAGTGGTGGGAGCTGGGCACTAGCTGAAGACCAGCAGCAGATCAGCCCAGCGTGCCCCAGGGCAAAAGGCCCCAGGAACGTGGTGCAGACTCGGCCAGGCGTTTTCTTCCGTTCCTGTACGCCCAGCTCACCAGAAACGGTGTGCTTTCACCTGTGACTGCCTCGGGATAAACCAATTCCTCTACAATCTGCTACTGACTGTGATCTTGGTCGAGTTAGTTAATACATCTCAGCTTACCTTTCCTCTGTAAAATGGTGTTCATCAAAGGGCCTACCATTTAGGATTCAGAGAATTGAGTTAGTCCATATAAAGCACTTAGTAGAGTTTCAGGAAGATCAGCAGTGAAAAAAAATAATAGCAAGTATTATTCTGCTGACAGAACGAGGAGAGCACAGCAGCACTACAGATGTGATATACACTGCCCGGGCACCTGAGCCTCCCCTAAGGGCCTGCGCATGGGGGCAGGGTGGTGAGAAGGAAAAGTGTATCCATATCCCCAGACACCATGGACCAAGCGAAGCCATCTCTGCACCTTGGCTGCTAGCTATACACCCACACTCTGTCCTGAAAACCACTGTGGTTCAGCCTGGGTAAAAGTGTTCCAGCTGATTAAAGGCCTTGTGATTGTACTAATTCTGCAGGTATGTTTAAATATTTGAAACTTTCTCTTGTACCCTCATTCATTCATTCAATAACCATTTACTGATCACCTCCTGTGTGCCAGCAATTGTTCTAGAACCTGGAGATACAGCAACAAATAAGACAGAAAAGGATTTATGCTCTCGTGGAGCTCTCGTTCCGAAGGGCTTTGCCACATAATGCCTGAGTCCTTAACTTCTTGTCACTGAACTTTTCTATGCTTCGGTTTCCTAATCTATAAAATGGAGATAATAATTGCTACTTCATAAAGTTGTCATGAGGCTTTTTTCTTTTTGGTTTGATTGTTTGTTTTTTTTGAGGTATACTTGACATATAATATTATGGACACTTAGATGGTTCCCATATCTTGGTTATTGTAAATAATGCTGCAGTGAACACAGGGGTACAGATATGTCTTGAGTTAGTGTTTTGTTTTCTTTGTATAAATACCCAGAAGTGGAATTCCTGGATCACATGGTAGTTCTATTTTTGAGTTTTTGAGGACCCTCCATACTGTTGTCCATAGTGGCTGCACCAATTTACAATCTCACCAACAGTGCACAAGTGTTCCCTTTTCTCCACGTCCTCGCCAACACTTGTCATTCCTTGTCTTTTTGATAATAGCCGTTCTAACAGGTGGTATCTTATTGTGGGTTTTTTTGTTTTTTGTGGTATGCGGGCCTCTTGCTGTTGTGGCCTCTCCCGTTGTGTAGCACAGGCTCCGGACGCGCAGGCTCAGCAGCCATGGCTCACGGGCCCAGCCGCTCCACGGCATGTGGGATCTTCCCGGACCGGGGCACGAACCAGCGTCCCCTGCATCAGCAGGCGGACTCTCAACCACTGCGCCACCAGGGAAGCCCTCATTGTGGTTTTGATTTGCACTTCCCTGATGATTAGTGATGCTGAACATCTTTTCACGTAGTTGTTGGCCATTTGTATGCCATCTTTAGAAATACGTTTATTTAGATCCGCTGCCCAGTTTTTAATCAGGTCGTTTGTTTTTCTTGATGAGTTAATATCATAAAACATTTAGAACAGTGCAAAGCACAGAGTAAGCACTGGGTTAAGTGCTAGCTATTACTATTTGGGGGAAGACTGAATGAAAAGCAGGTTTGGGAGAAGATCAGCAGTTTCTTTTGGGTGCATGTTAACTCTGAGATGTCCCTTAAACATCCAAGGGAAGATTGTTGATCAGGAGCTCAGTTATAATACAAGTCTAGATGTCAAGGACAGGTCTGAGTTAGAGATGTAAATCTGGAGGTAACTGGCATAAGAGTTGGTAATTAAAGTCATGAAATTGATTGAGATCACCAAAGGAGTGGAGTTGGAATAGACACATCCTGAGGACTGAGCCCCAGGGCACCCAAAGTTTAGGAGTTGAGGATCTGAGGAGGAATAAACAAAGACGCCTGAAAAGGGGCAGCCAGAGCAGTAGGAGGAAAATTTGGAGAGTGCAGAGTCCTGGAGGCTAAGTGAAGCGAGCTTTGCCAGGAAAAGGGAAGGTCCACTGGGTATGCTCCTGGTGGGTCAGGTGAGATGAGAACTGAGAGGTAGTCATTGAATGTGGCCACAGGAAGGTCACTGGTAACCTTGCAGCAGTTCTGGAATAGTGGAGGCAGATATCATTTTGGAGTATGTTTCAGGGAGGATGGTAGGACATGAATTGAAGACCATGAATATAGCATCACTTCTGAAGATATTTCTGTAAAGGGGAACAAAGAAATGAGAGGCAGAAGGGAATATAAAGTCAAGAAACTTCTCTTGTTTGTTTGCCTTTATTTTTGTAATATGGGCTTTGTTTCAGCATATTTGCAGTGATATGCAAATATATTTGAAGTATTCCTTTATGAGATTTTTTTTGGCCACACAGCTCAGCTTGTGGGATCTTAGTTCCCCAACCAGGAATCAAACCTGGGCACCATAAGTGAAAGCACCGAGTCCTAACCACTGGACTGCCAGGGAATTCTCTATGAGATTTTAATAAGATAGTTTTATCAATGAAAGGCACAGAACCCTAGGAGAAATTGTCACTGTTCTAGTTATACTGTTCCATGCATTTCTAATACATTGAATAAAGTGGGGAAGTTAACTCAAGGGCTCGATAATATGGGCCTTTTTTGTTTAATAGCTGATGCTACAGAATCATTGGAGAGCCTTGTAACTGATACGTTACATATGTGCAGTTCGATGTGACATATACCATGGTATCTAAAGAGAAGAAGAAAGCTGGTAACCCAGAAGGAAGAGTTAAAAATTGAAAAGTTCTGGGCTTCCCTGGTGGCGCAGTGGTTGAGAGTCCGCCTGCTGATGCAGGGGACGCGGGTTTGTGCCCCGGTCCGGGAAGATCCCACATGCCGCAGAGCGGCTGGGCCCGTGAGCCATGGCCGCTGGGCCTGCGCGTCCAGAGCCTGTGCTCCGCAACGGGAGAGGCCACAGCAGTGAGAGGCCCGCGTACCGCAAAAAAAAAAAAAAATTGAAAAGTTCTTATATAAATGATGGGCTTTAGTGAAGCCCATCATTTATATAAGGGCTTTAGTGAAGCTCCTGTACCGTCGATGAAATAAAACTGTGTGGTGTCCATGGAGTCACCCAGTGAGAGCAGGTAACATAACATGGTGTTCACCCCCAGGACCCAGAAATCTAGGCCTCTGGACAAAAAAAATGTTGTGGTCATCAAGCCATCAGCCACTGCAGCTGTCTCCCACAGTGTGCCCTGAGGGGATTCAGGATGGAGAAAAACAGGATGCTGGCCCAAAATAGTTCGGTGCATATCAAAGGAATAATGAGCCTGGACCCTTGCATCTTCATATACAGAAAAGCACTAAAGTCATTAACTTGAGATGTCTGTTTATTGTGATTAACAGTAATCTTTTGATGTTCAGCTACATGGTTTTTTGTTTGTTTGTTTTTGTTTTGTTTTTTCAGAAAAACTATGTATCCTAGCTCCTCTCTTATCTGGTTGGAACAGTTTCTCAGGGCTCTCTGAGAGGCTGATTCCCAGACTATAGTCCTCAGTAAGATCCCGAATAAAACATAACTCTCAAATTTTAGGTTGTCCATCTTTTTTAAAGTCCACAGGTTTCTGCTGCCATCTTTTACCAAAAGGAACCAGAGCCCTCCTAACGGGGTGGGGGTGGGGAGTGGAGGGGACTTGGGGTAAGACAGTAGCAAGGCTTGTGACATCTTGTAGTAAGGAAACAAGGATGCTTTCAAAGATTTGAGGGTTCTGTGGAGCTAGGAACGGAGGCCAGCCTGTGGGGAGGACCCCCACTTGGAAGCATAACCATGGAATGAGGAGTTCAGAAGGAAAATTCATAATCTCAGCCTTTTTGAAGAGGCTGAGTCTGTAAAAACTCTCAAGTCCTGAAAAGGAAATGTTAACATGGTATGTTTTATAAGGTAGTTATAATGCCCATGTGAACTGTCAGCATTGTTTATTAGAGAAAATATTATATATTGATTGAACCAAAGTATGACCAAAAGAAAACTACTCTATTGAGATTTTGTTCAACAAGGAAGGTGCCGGAGTAACTTATTTCCCCCTGTATCTTAATCAGTTTGGACTGCTGTAATGAAAGCACCATAGACCGGGTGACTTCTAAACAATAGAATTTATTTCTCATAGTTCTGGAGGTTGGGAAGTCTGAGATCCGGGTGCCAGAAGATTGAATGTCTGGTGAGGCCCGCTTCCTAGTTCATAAACGGCTGTTTTCTCTCTGTGTCCTCACATGGTGGAAGGGGCAAGAGAGCTCTCTGAGGTCCCCATTTTAAGGACACTGCTGACAGAAAAAAAATGCACAACCTAAAAGTTAAGAGTTATGTTTTATTCTGCGGACTTTCTGAGGACTTCAAGCCCTACACACAGCATCTCAGATAACTCTGAGCGACTGTTCCGAACAGGCAACGGGGAGTAGCCAAGATATATAGGAGTTTTGCAGCTAAGACTAGGTAGTAGAAACATCAAAAGATTGCTGTTAAAAAAAATAAAAACAGATATCTCAAGTTAAGGAACTTAGTGCTTTTCTATGTATGTGAAGATGCAAGAATCTGGGCTCATTGAAATCATTCCTTTGATATGCACATCAGCTATCTGGGGCCAGTATCTTGTATTTTCTCATCCTCAGTTTCCTCAGGGCGCACCGTTGGGGGTGGCTGTAATGGCGGGCATTCTGTTTCTTTCCTGAGCTCACCGTTGGCAAGGCTCTAATGTGATGGCTTGATGGCTGCAAAGTCCTTTGTTTACTGATATGGCAGGCAATATTTTTCATTCACAGCACTAATTCTATTCATGAGGGCTCTGCTGTGATGAGCTAATCACCACCCAAAGGCCTCACTTCCACAGACCATCAGTGGGATTAGGTTTCAACATATGACTTTGGAGGAGACACACACATTCAGTTCATAGTGCCCTGCAAGACTTTTGATCTGTTCAAGTTTGGTTAGGCAGATACTCATAATTTCTGAGCTTGTCTGCTCCAAGTGGTTTTTGACTGGGAGGTAGTGTTGATCAACCTGTTAAACAAAAGGTGTGTTTGACAGTCTGCAAGAACTGTTTTAAACTCAACGTACACACAAGCTTGCCACCTGCCAGTATAGAAACTCAGGGTAACATATCCACCTGCCTTTGTCATGAAGAAAGTAGGTCTTGTTCTTAGTCTAAAGAAATATTTCAACTAGAGACCAAGGACAGAGATGCCTTGTTCCCCCGGTCCACTTGTGTCTTTTATTTGAAACTTTCATTTTAATCACCTACTCCCTGTGCCTGCTTCTGGTCTCAACCTACATTGCAGAAGCCAAGCTCTACTTGTACATCCTTCCTGCTGTCTGATTCCCACAAAAATTGACTTTGCCACCCACTTCATACTTGCTGCAATTAGAGAGAAATTACTCTCACACTTGGACTGACCAATAAGTCACAGGAGGCATTTCTGGAGAATCTAGGAGACTGACACAGATAGAGAAGCATAAGGCAGCTGGGGTCAAGGACCGAAGCTGCCCAAAGCATCTCTCACTCTCAGAACCCCAGCTTCTGCTGCCCTTTTTGACTGGCTGGGGGAATCCAGCTGTGATGTCATAAAAAATAAGTATTGGCCTTTGTCCCTGGTTCCTGCCAACAGCTCCTAACACCCTTGGAAAGTCCAGAGTGATCAATGTCTTTTGTATGCTAATGATATGACTAGTGGCTGGGGGGATGGGGGCTGGTCACCAGAAAGACCAGGCATGATTAGAGCCTTGGAACTTTCAGCCCCACCTCCAGGCCTCCTGGAAGGGGAGAGGGGCTGGAGATTGAGTTAATCACCAATGGTCAATGATTTAATCAATCATGCCTACATGATGGAACCTCCATACAAACCCTAAATAGCAGGGTTTGGAGAGCTTCCACGTTGATGAACACGTCGGAGTGCTAGGAGGGTGGTGCACACCCCCATACCTTGCCCTATGCATCTCTTCCAACTGGCTGTTTCTGAGTTGAATCCTTTCTGATAAACTTCTAATCATAAGTGTTTTCCTGAGTTCTGTGAGTTGGACTAGCGAATTACCAAACTTGAAGAGGGGGTTGTGGGAACCCTCTAAATTTATAACTAGTTGGTCAAAAGTACCAGTGACAACCTGGGACTTGTAACTGGCATCTGAAGTGGGAGCAGTCTTGTGGGACTGAGCCCTTCACTTGTGGGATCTGATGCTGGTTCCAGGTAGATGGTGTCAGAATTGAACTGAATTGTAGGACCCACAGCTGGAAGAATGGTGTGGACAAGACACCACACATTTGGTGTCAGAAGTGTGGTAAGTAAAAATAGCTCAGAGGCCTGAAGCAAGAAGAGGAAAGGGAGGAGGAGCAAGGGGAGACCTGGGCAGGACACACGGCACACGGCGTGGACCGGCGTAGTGTTCAAGTTCAACAGGCAATCTTTCTGTTTAAAAATCCCATACTTAAGAGACAAAGATTGACAATTACTATTTTTACTTTCTGTAAACTCAGAGAGGGAAAGCCAAGCCATACCTTCAGGAGGGGATAGCAATTAAGCAAACATGAAGGCTGGATCCAATCATAGAGCAACCAGGCCCAGGACTGGCCCAGGAGTACAAAATAATGGTGACCTTGCCGAACTGGGGGGAGGAGGAAATGAGGTCACGTGTACAAAACTCCTAGCACAATGCCTGGAACACACAGATTTGTCTATAGTCATCACAGGCACAGGGAAGAAACCTAGTTTCATTTTTCCTTTCTGTTGGAAATGAATGAAACTATTCAATTTTCCTTTCATTTTGCTGTCTGAAAACTGGTTCATTTGAATGAAACCCTGGGCCTAGAATCCAGCAAACAGGGAAGGAGCTGCTTCAGGATAATGAGACACAGATGGAGAAATAGAAAATGATAAAATTTCAACCCACTACTTGGAAATGCAAACACATTTCATGTATTCATGGTCACTGATGTCTTTATTGGAGCTGGAATGTCTAACACATCCAAACAACACATGATTAGTCTCCATAATAGGAACGAAACAAGCTCCCATTGAAGTAATCAGCTGATCACATTGCAGAGGGTGTTCAGTGCTTTTCAACACACGTGGCACTGGGTTGGTCCCCTGGTGCCTTGCGCTAATGCGCACATGGGGCGTCATCCGTCCTGGCACCTGCTGAGTTCAGATGCTTCAGCATCCTCGGTCACCATAGCCTGACACCTCCAGCTACTGGGCTCAGCTCCAGGCCCTTGGGGGATCGGACCTAATTCCCGACTAGGAGAGATAATGGTGAGACTGAAGTGCGTTGGCTGCTTGTTTATTTGATTAAAAAGAAGAAAAAACTCCACTGTTACAGAACAAAGAGTGCAAAGCAAGCCCCTAGACCTGGACCTGTTCCTGGCTCCGTTATTTCACTTACATATTTATAAAGCTTGGCCAATGTGGAAAATCGCACTATTGCTTAGCAACCCAAATTATAGAGAAAATTAGATCTGAAAGAACCATGACAATAAGCAGGATTCTAAAGGGAGATACAGTAAAGAGAAGGATCCAGAATGACTAAGCTCAAGACTGACTCCCCTCTGAGCCTACACTTGGCCCCTAATAATAATCATAGTTAACATGAGTTAAGCATTCTGTGGGTGAGGCACTATACAAAGTATTACACATTCATTATCTCGTTTATTCCTCACAACAACCCCTGGGGTGGGTATAATGATTACCTCCACTTTCTCACAAGAAAACAGAGGCATAGAGAAATAGGTATTGGTCAAGATCACTCAGCCAGAAAGAGTGGGTCCAGAATTGGAACAACAGACCCCCAGTTTTTTGGCATCATGCATACTAACCCAAGAGTGCAGCTCCCTGTGCCTCAAACATCCAAAAATGCAATTTATAGGAAAAGATGTAATTCGGAGGGCTAAATAATCCAGATGGTAAACTCGATTTTTCCCTTCACTGAGACATAGTCATAGATCATTGGAACAAAAATGTTTTTTTCTGCTATTTTTACAAAATGGAGAAAGTATCATTGTTTTTTTTACTGATTATAAAATAAAATACATGCTTATTATAAAATATGCAAATGGTACAGGACTGTAGAAAATGGAACCCCCCCAAATACATGTATATATATAATCCCATTTGTCACAGATGTCAGAGATAATCACTGTTAATCATTTTCTCTCTCTCTCTCTCTTCCTCTCTCTCTCTCTCTCTCTCTCTATCTCTCTCTCTCTATATATATATATGTACTTTTTTTTTTTTTAAGAAATGCAGCAGACTTAAGAAGCAGCCACAACAAATTAGCTTTCACTGAGAAGAAATGGAAACACTGGTTTAATCAAAACAAAAGTAAAAATCTGTTCGAGGGACAAATCTTCCATACAGAAGAATTTCAAGTTAGGCAAGTAAACACTTTTCCCTAATTCTCCATGAATGTGGACCTTAATGCTCCATGAGTGTGGGCTGTTCTTAGAGACCCACTTCCAACGAATATAGTACAGAAAGGGAAAACCACTAACCTTACAGTGGAGAAATCTGACAGACACTACTTTAACTAAATGATCACAGTTAACATCACCAGTAATAATCACGTTGACATCATGTACTGTCTTAATTCAGGTTGTTGTACAAAAACAAAAACAGAAACACAGACTGTGTGGCTTAAACAGACATTTATTTCTCACAGTTCTGGAGGCTGGAAGTCCAAGATCAAGGTGATGGCAGATGCAGTTCCTGGTGAGAGCTCTCTTCCTAGCTTGCAGACGACCACCTTCTCAATTTGTTCTCACATGGTAGAGAGAGGGTGAGGAAACAAGCTCTCTGTTGTTTAGTCTTACACAGGCACTAATCTCATCATAAGGGCACCTCCCTCATCTAAACCTAATTCCCTCCCAAAGGCCTCACCTCCAAATACCATCACATTGGCGGTTAGGGCTTCAACACATGAATTTGGTGGGGGGGGGCCGGGGGTGATACAAGCATTTAGTTCATAACACGTACCCCCTGATATGATGTAATGAGAATGGTACTTTGTGGTCTATTCATGAGAAAACACCAGACAAACCCAAACTGAGAGATCCTTTACAAAATGCCTGACTAGTACTCTTCAGAACTATCAAGGTTGTGAAAAACAAATAATAAAGACTGATAAAATGGTTACAGATGGTGTTACAGACATGACAACTAAACACAATGCAGTACGCTGGATTGGGTATTAGAGCAGAGAAAGGACATCCTGAAAAACCTGAAGAAATCTGAATAAAGTCTGTAGATCACTTAATAGCATTATTTCAATGTTAACTTATTGGTTTTGACAAATGTAAAAAGGTTAGGCAAGATGTAATCAACAGGGGAAACTGGATGAAGGATACATGGGAACTCTATACTATTTTGCAAACTTCTGTAATTAAAAAATTGTTTCAAAATAAAAAGTTTACTTAAACATTTTTGTTGTTGTCTGAAGACAGTTAGGACTGAAAGAGCCTGAAAGTGCTCGCTTTGACAGCACATATACTAAAATTGAAATGATACAAAGAAGATTAGTATGGCCCCTGTGCAAGGATGACACGCAAATTCGTGAAGCATTCCATATTTTTGTACATATATACAATGGAATATTACTCAGCCATAAAAAGAAACGAAATTGAGTTATTTGTAGCGAGGTGGATGGACCTAGAATCTGTCATACAAACTGAAGTAAGTCAGAAAGAGAAAAACAAATACCGTATGCTAACACATAAATATGGAATCTAAAAAAAAAAAAAAATGGTTATGAAGAACCTAGAGGCAGAACAGGAATAAAGATGCAGATGTAGAGAATGGACCTGAGGACACGGGGACGGGGAAGCGTAAGGTGGGATGAAGTGAGAGAGTGGCATAGACTAATATATACTACCAAATGTAAAATAGATAGCTAGTGGGAAGCAGCCGCATAGCACAGGGAGATCAGCTCTGTGCTTTGTGACCACCTAGAGGGGTGGGATTGGGAGGGTGGGAGGGAGACGCAAGAGGGAGGAGATATGAGAATAGATGTAGAGGTATAGCTGATTCACTTTGTTATACAGCAGAAACTAACCCAACGTTGTAAAGCAATTATACTCCAATAAAGATGTTTTTTTAAAAAAAAAGAGAGCCTGAGAAAAGAGCGTGCATTGAAGTGAGCCCGGCATTATGCCCAGCTCCACTTTGAGGCATTAACCATAGGGCTAACTAGTGCCATAGGGCTAAGAGGCTCAGGAGCTTCCCCTTGGCTCTTTACCGATTCATAAGCAGTATTGGGCTCCAATTAGCATCCCAGAAGAGCCACACCCTAGGAATAAAGGTGAAATGGAAATAGCCTGATTCTTCAAAAGACTAAAACTCACTTTCAAACCAACTCAGACTCAGACTGGATTAAGGTAATCTGCATTTATTCAAACTAACTGCTAGAGGCAAATGTAAATCCTCTCTGAAGGAAACTAACACCATGAGAGCCTCAAATTATCTATACAATATTTTTATATACAATGCCTAGCATCCAGTAAAAAATTTAAGCGATATGGGGTCTTCCCTGGTGGCGCAGTGGTTGAGAGTCCGCCTGCCGATGCAGGGGACACGGGTTCGTGCCCCGGTCCGGGAAGGTCCCACATGCTGTGGAGCGGCTGGGCCTGTGAGCCATGGCTGCTGAGCCTGCGCGTCCAGAGCCTGTGCTCCGCAATGGGAGAGGCCACAACAGTGAGAGGCCCGCATACGCAAAAAAAAAAAAATTTAAGGGATATGGTAAAAAGGCCAAACGTATATAAAATTGGAATTTCAGAATGAGACAAAAAGATAGAGAGGGAAAGCAGCAGTATTTGAAGAGAAAATGGCTGAGTGATAAAAGATACCATGTCATAGATCCAAGAAGCTCTATGAATGCCATGAAGAATAAACATAAAGAAAAACACATTTAATTACACCATATTAAAACTGCTGAAAATCAAGGACAAAGGAAACTCTTAAAAGCAGCCAGAGGATAAAAGACACATTACTTTCAAAAGAACAACAGGACTGGCAATTTTTCAGCAGAAATTATGGTAGCCTAGAGGACAATCCAATTGAATCTTTATGGAGCACAAACGAAATCACTGCCACCCTAGAATTCTATTCTCAATGAAAATATCTTTCCAAAATGAAGGTAAAATGAAAATATTTTCAGTCGAACAAAAACTTAGAGCATGCATTTCTAGCATATGGGAATAAAAGAAACACTAAAGGAGTTTTTTTAAACAGAAGGAAGATGGAGGTGCAGTAATGCAAGAAGGAATGATGAACAGTAGATGAAGAGTAGATGAATGATGAACAGTAGAAGGGTAAGTGTAGCATTAACTCTAAACGAAAACAGATCAAATAAGATAATAATTATGTCTCTTGGTGTTTAAAGTATATGTGGAATTAAAATATAAGATAGAAAGAAGCGCTTTCAAAACAGTGGAGTGAGGATCTCCAAAAAATCCACTCCTCCAAAACAGCAATAAAGACACTGAGGAAAAATGTAAAAAAACCAAAAAAACACACTTTTTCAGAACTTAAGAAACCACCAGCTTTCAGCAATAAAGGAGTTTTTATATAAGGAAAAAGTCTGAATATTAGAAAGAAGAATGAATTGTGTAGCATTTTAACTTGTCCTATTCTCATGCTGTCTCCCCAGCTCCATGATTGGTTTGGAAACCAGAAGACTCACAGCCATGATAGCTGTTACAACCAGTAGCCTAGTAACCACTGGAGAGGTTAGAACAGGTTTGAAGCTCCCAACAAAGCCCACCCGAGATTTGTAACTCTTTGACTTGACAGTTTTCTGGAAAAGCCCCACTGTAAAGCTTGTCTTATTTGACCTGACTCATAGATCATTCAGTAAGAAAAACCCTATCCTCAGGGCCTTTGTCAAAAGCAATCAACAGCAACTGTTTAACGTCATAGCTTCCTGAGGAGGTAATACCAGAAAGGGCAAACAAAAAGCTTGTCCAAAAATGTAAAAGGAAAATCTGGAGAGTTAGATGTCCATCAGGGGCTTTGAAAAACTCCAGCATATTTCTGTGGATCTAGAAGGCCATGTGCATGTGCAGGGCTAAGAAGATTAGGGCCTGAGAAGATACTAATCTCTCACCTTGGGCTGATCTTGAGGCTTTGGCTGAGTGTTGAAGGTGTGCCCCAACACAAACACACAGCCCCTTTGCAAAGATAGGGAGATTTGGGGTGGGGGTGGGGTCCAAGAATGTAAGAAAATCTCTCAGATCACTAGCTGAGCACTAGGCTAATGGAACAGAGATTTCAATGCCCACACATGACAAAGAATACAGAATTAGTTCAGAAAAGTCACTAAGGAAGCAATCAGCAGAAACAACAAACCCTGGAAAAGAAGAGAAATCTGATGTTTACATTACGTTATTTTAAATGTTTAGTTTTCAACAAAAATCTATGAGTCATGCAAAGAAACAGGAAAGTATGGCCCATAGACAGGGGAAAAAGCAGTCAGAAGTTACTGTCCCTGAGGAAGTCCAGATGCTGAACTTACCATATAAAGTCTTTAAACAAGCTATCATAAGTATGTTCAAAGAACTAAAGGAAACCATACCTAAAGAATTAAAGGAAAGTATGAAAATAATGTCTTGCTAAATAGAAAATATCACTAAAAAGAAAAAACATTTTTTTAAATAGAGATCTGGACCTGAAAAGTATAACCGAAAGGAAAAATTCACTAGAGGGGTTCGACAGCAGATGTGAGTTGCTAAAAGAAAGAATAAGCATACTTATAGATAGTTCAATAAGATTATCGAGCCTGAGGAACAGAAAGAAAACAAGAATGAAGAAAAATTAATGGAGTGTCAGTGACCTGTGGACACAATCAAGCATATCAACATACACATAATGAGACCCACAGAAGGGAGGGAGGGAGAGAAAAAGGGACAGAAAGAATATTTGAAGAAATTATGACCAAAAAACTTCCCAAATTTGATTTTAAAAATCTATGTATCAAAGAAAATCACTAACTCTAAGTAAAATAAGCTCAAAAGAATCCACATCTAGACAAATCACAGCCAAATTTTCAAAAGACAGAGAATCTTGAAAATAGCAAGAAAAAAAAAAAAAACTCATTACACACAAGAGATTCACAAAACGATGAACAGCTGGCTTATCAGAATCCATGGAGGCCAGAAGGCAGTGCAATGACGTATCCAATATGCTGGGGGTGGAGGGAGACTATCAATCAAGAATTCTATATCCAGGGACTTCCCTGGTGGCTCAGTCATTAAGAATCTGCCTGCAGTGACTTCCCTGGTGGTGCAGTGGTTAGGAATCCGCCTGCCAATGCAGGGGACATGGGTTCGAGCCCTGGTCTGGGAAGATCCCACATGCCACGGAGCAACTGGGCCAGTGTGCCACAACTACTGAGCCTGCGTTCTAGAGCCCCTGAGCCAAAACTGCTGAGCCTACGTACCACAACTACTGAAGCCTGTGCACCTAGAACCCATGCTCTGCAACAAGAGAAGCCACCACAATGAAGAGTAGCCTCCGCTCACCATAACTAGCGAAAGCCCACGCACAGCAACAAAGACCCAATGCAGCCAAAAATCAATCAATCAATTAATTAATTTTTTAAAAAAGAATTCTATATTCAGCAAAACTATACTTCAAAAATTAGACATTCTCAGAGAATTCATCGCCAGTAGACCTGCCCTATAAGAAATACTAAAGGAAGTCTCTTCAGGCTGAAATGGAAGAACACCTGACAATAACTTGAATATACACAAAAAATAAAGAGTACTAGTGAAAGTAACTACATAGGTAAATATAAAAGACAGTATAAATGTATTTTTGTTTGTAATTTTTTTGTACTCCTTTCTGACTTTTTAAAATCATTACAAATTTAATTAATATATTTCTTAAAATTTTATTGAAGTATAGTTGATTTACTACTCCTTTCTTATTTGAGACAACCACATAAGACAATAATTATAAAACTATGTAAATGGGCTTCTAATGTATAAAAATGTAATTTGTATGACAATAATAGCACTAAGCGGGGGGAGGGTATGTAGCTATATTAGAGCAGTTTTTGTATAAGATTGAAAAGAAGTTGGTATTAATCCAAACTAGATTGCTTTAAATTAAGATGTTAATTCTAATACTCAGGGAAACCACTAAGAAATAACTTTAAAAAGCAGAGTAAAAAAATAAGAAGGGAATTAAGACAGTGCACTATAAAATATTTAATGCAAAAGGCATCAGTAATTGCAAATTAGTAGAAAAAAAGATACAAGATATGTAGAAAACAAATAGAAAAATTTCAGGCATTAATCCTACCTTGTCAGTAATTACATCAAATATAAATAGATTAAACGTGCCAAACTAAAGGCAGAGATTGGCATAATGGATTTTTTTAAAATGATCCAGCTCAATGCTGTGTACAAGAGACAAATTTTAGATTCAAAGATTTATTAGGTTGAAAATAAAAGGATAGGAAAAGATATACCATGTAAATATTAGCCAAACACTGCTAGAGTGGCTATACTAATATCAGACAAAATAACTATTAAGAAAAAAATTTTTACTAGACACAAAGAAAATACACTTGGCCATAAAGCAAGTCTCAACAATTTAATTTCAGAAAATTTAAATCACATAGGATGTGTGTCTCTGACTGCAGTGGAGATAGCTAGATGTGAATTACAGAATGAAAACTAGAAAAGTCCTCAAGGGTTTGCAAATTAAGCAATATAATTATCAGTAGTATATTAATAGATCAGAAAGGAAATTACAATCAAAATTAGGAAATATTTTGAGAGGAATTATAAAAACCATATATCAATACTTCTGGGGTATTGCTTAGTCCATAGTCAGAGAAAACTCTATAGCTCCAAATACATGTATGTATAAGAAAAAAATAAACACCATAAATCAATTATCTAAGTATCCAGATCAAGTAGTTAGAAAATAGCAAATTAAATGCAGAGAAAGTAGAGGAGAGGAAATGATAAAGATAGCAACAGAGATTAATGAAGTTGAAAACAAATATACTAAAAAGTATATTAAAAAATTCACATTTATGAGCCCCTAGCAAAACTGATCTAGAATAAAAGTAGAAGAGACACAAAATATTGATACCAGGAACAAATAAGAGCATCATTACAGATCCCAAATATTAGAAAGATAGTATATAAAAGAATATTATAAATGATGTGACAGTGAACTTGAAAATTTTAATTAAATAGCAAATTCCTAGAAAAATAAAACTTTACAAAATTGACACAAGGTAAAAAAAGAAAATATAAAAAGTATCAATCATGTTTACTAAAGAAATAAATTCTGTAGTTAAAAACCTTCTTACAATACAAATTCCAAACCCAGATAGCTTCCTTGGTGAATATACCAAGCATTTAAAGAAGAAATAACACTAATCACACATAAACTCTTTCAGAAAATAGATGAAGAAATATTTCCCATTTTGCATTAGGTTATGAGATCACATAACCTTAATCCCCAAACCTAATAAGGACATTATAGCAAAGAAAAATTACCCACCAATCTTTCTCAGAAACAGAGATGGGCCAAAAAATCCTGAAAAAAGGAAATAGCTAGACTAGAGGAGAGCAGCCAAGATGGCAGAGTAGAAACACCCTGAGCTCACCTCTTCTCACAAACACATCAAAATCACAACTATCTGCAGAACAACCATCAGTGAAAAAGACAAATCTACCAGAGAAGCTCTTCTACAACTTAAGACATAAAGAAGGAACCACAGCAAGTTGGGTGGGAGTGCTGGACTTGTGATATAATCAAATCCCATACCCCAGTTTGCGACCCACAAGCTGGAGAATAATTATATTGCAGAGGTTCTCCTACAGGAGTGAAAGTTCTGAGCCCCACATCAGGCTCCCCAGCCCAGGGGTCCTGAACTGGGAAGGTGAGCCCCCACAGCACTTGACTTTGAAGACCAGAGGGCTTAATTTCAGGAGTCCCACAGGACTGGAGGAAATAGAGACTTCACTCTTAAAGCATACACACAAAATCTCACATGCATCAAGACCCAGGGCAAAAGAAGTAATTTGATAGAAGCCTAGGCCAGACCTACCTGCTGGTCTTGGAGAGTCTCCTGGAGAGGTAGGGGGCAGCTGCAGCTCACCCTAGGAACATAGATACTGGTGTCAGCCATATTTGGGAACATTCTACCGTGTGAACACTGCATCTGGCAGCTGCCATCCTGGCTCATTAGTGGAAAGCTGAGGTCCCACCCAACAGCCTGTGGGCACCAGTGCTAGGATGTCTCAGGCCAAGCAGCTAAGAGACACAGCCCCACTCATTAGCAGACAGACTGCCTAAACACTTCCTGAGCCAACCTCTGCCTCTAGACATGCCCTGACATGGCCCTGCCCAACAGAGGGCCAAGAACCAGCTCCACTCACCAGTGGGCAAGCACCAGGCCTTCTCTCCAGGAAGCCTGCACTAGCCTCTAGACAAGCCTCATCCACCAGGGGGGCTGATACCAGAAGCAAGAAAACTATGATCCCACAGTCTGCAGACCAAGTCCACCCACAGTAAGCCAGACCCTACCCTGGAGCCAGCTGGGCCCTGGCTCTGCCCACTAGCAGGCAAACACAAGCTTTGGGTCACCCCAAATCCCCTGGGAACCACCCCTTTCCCACTCACCAATGATGTGAAATGAGCTCTGGGATCCCTGGGCTTTGCAGCCAGACTCCAGGAACCAACTCTGCTTGCCAGTAGTCTGGCACTAACCTCAGGTCCTGGTTTCACTTGCCAGCAGGCAGGCAACAGCTCTGGAGTCTTCAGGACCCTGACTCTGCCCACCGTGAGCCAGCCCTAGCCCCAGAGTCCCCCAGGGTTCTGCAGCTAGCTGCCTCATGACCAGGCCCTGCTAAATGGCAGCCAGCTGCATCTGCACAAGGCAGAGTCTGGCAACCAACCAGACTAGGGGCCAGCTAAGCCTACCAGATTGCCCACATAATCAGCCTGCCACAACAGAAGGACCCATGCAGCCCTTTTAGGGGAAACCCCCAGAGCATATAGCTTGGGTGAGAAGAGGGGAGTGTCCTGCTGAGACAGATAGGATGTTTCCTACAGAAGTTTGCTTCTCCAAGGTCAAGAAACATAACTAACCTACCACACATATAAAAGTATAAATAGCAGCTTAGACAAAATGAGGGGTCAGAGGAACATTTTCCAGATGAAGGAAAAAGACAAAACCCTAGAAGAAGAATTAAGTGAAGTGGAGATAATCTACCCAAGAAAGAGTTCAGAGTAATGGTCATAAAGATGATCAAAGAACTCAGGAGAAGAATGAATGCACAGAGTGAGAAGTAAGAAGTTTTTAAAGAGTTAGAAAACATAAAGAACAACCAAACAGAGATTAAGAATACAATAACTGAAATGAAAAAAATACACTGGAAGGAATCAATAGTAGACTAAATAATACAGAGGAGCAGATCAGTATTGGAAGATAGAATATTGGAAATCACTACTGTTGAACTGAAAAAAAAAAAAGAATGAAAAGAAATGAGACCTCTGTGATAACATCAAGTGCACAATATTTGCAATATAGCGGTCCCAGAAGGAGAAGAGAGAGAGAGAAAGGGCCTGAGAAAATATCTGAAGACATAATAGCTGAAAACTTCCCTAACATGGAAAACAGTCACCCAAGTCCAGGAAGTGCAGAGAGTCCATACAGGATTAACCCAAAAAGGAATATACCAAGACACATTGTAACTAAAATGAAAAAAATAAAAGATAAAGAAAGAATATTAAAAAGCAACAAGGGAAAAGCAACAAATAACATACAAGGGAACTCCCATGTGGCTATCAGCTGATTTTTCAGCATGAATTCTGCAGGCCAGAAGGGAGCAGCATAATATATTTAAAGTGATGAAAGGGAAAAACCTACAACCAAGAATACTCTACCCAGCAAGTCTCTCAACCAGGTTTGATGGAGAAATCAAAAGCTTTACAGACAAGCAAAAGCTAAAAGAGTTCAGCACCATGAAACCAGCTTTACAACAGATGTTACATAGGAATTTCTCTAGGTGAAAAAGAAAAAATCCACAACTAGAAACAAGAAAATTATGAAATAAAAAAGCTCATTAGTAAAGGCACTAAAGATAGGAAATCATCCACACACAAAACTAGTAGGGAGGTTAAAAGACAAAAGTAGTAAAATCATCTATATCCACAACAAGCAGTTAAGGGATACACAAAACAATTAGATGTAAAATATGATATCAAAAACAGTGATCATGAGAGGAGTACCATACAAATGCAGAGTTTAAAAAATGCACTTGAAATTAAGAGATGAGCAATTTAAACAATTGCATATATATATATATATACATACACACATACTGCTATACAAAAAACTCATGGTAAACACAAACTAAAAATCTATAATAGATACACACATAAAAAAGAAAAAGGAATCCAAACATAAGGTTAAAGATAGTCATCAAATTACAAGAGAAGAGAAAAAAAGAAGAAACGGGAAAAAAAGACCTACAAAGACAAATCCAAAACAATTAATAAAATGGCAGTAAGAACATACATAATACCTAAATGTAAACAGACTAAATGCTCCAACCAAAATGCATAGAGTTGCTGAAAGGATACAAAAACAAGATCTGTATATATTCTGTCTACAAGAGACTCACTTCAGATCTAGACACATACAGACTGAACATGAGGGGATGGAAAAAAGGTATTCCATGAAAATGGAAATCAAAAGAAAGCCAGAGAAGCAATACTTAT